GGGTGGGGGGAGTTGATCAAATATCCCCTCGGTAGCTTTTGTGTGAATAGCATGGTAACTCACACATCGTAGACATGATAACTTATGTACCCAGGTCCTGATAACTTTGGCGATGAGGGTGGGGAGGGGGGGAGTTGATAAAACATCCCCTCGATAACTTTTGTGTGAATAGTATGGTAACTCACACATCGCAGACCTGGTAACTTATGTACCTAACCTGATAAAGAAGTCATAGAGGAGTCCCTCTACACATTCACACGTATAGTACATCATCATTTATGCAGTGATTTTTTTTTCAATAAAATGCCTTTCTTTTTGTCATCAGACAATGGTGAAAAAGAGTTTTAAAAGACTTGTTTTCAAGTATTGAATCACAGCCTGGGTTGGTGTTATGGTTGTCGGTCATGGTATTAGGTGTTCCCTAGGTATTTGATGCAGGTTCGAATCCCATGTAGCGCACGTTTTTTCTCAATTCCCCTTTTTTTATTAGTGTCAATCGGGGGTGAACGGGTGACACTTGGGAGATGGCTGACTAAAGACAGTTGGCAAAATTTAGAAGGAAAGCCAGTGGGATTACAATGACCGAGGCCAAAGGATCTGGACTGGTGACCCTAATTGAGGCTATATGCTCAAGATGACACTTCACTGCCATAGCTTGGGTCTTTTGGAAGCTTGTTTTAGGGCTTGTTCTGATTACAAGATTTTTATGCTTTACTGGGCAGATCTTCAAAATGCCAAAGATCACAAAGCATTCAAAATGATAAAGATCAAGGAGCGGCTGCTAACTAATGTGTTGCTTTTGCCAGATTAACGGTTTGTCAAGCGAATAGTGCAGAATATCATCCCAACCACCGTTCACAGCCTGATGACTAAAACGATAAATCTGATCAAAATTTAGAAGAGCACACAAATCGCAACAGATGACAAACATGTTCGATCCTCCTCATGATAACTTCAAAATCTGGAACAGGATTAGTTCAAGGTTCAAAGGGAGCTGCTCCACCACTAGACTGACAGACGGTATATCAGGTGCTACATTTGACTAGGATAAGAACACTGGATTCCAGACATCTCAGACAATTTTCCTGACCATATTCTCACTTGAGAGGAATGAACCTCGACGAGTGGGTGGCACCGATACCAGGCCTCCCGTGCTTCACCGGCTTGTACGACAGGGAGAACTCTGCCAGGTAGTGCCCAATCATCTCCGGCTTGATCTCCACCTGGTTGAAGCACTTGCCATTGTAGATGCCCACGACGCTTCCGATCATCTCAGGCATGATAATCATGTTGCGGAGGTGGGTCCTCACTTGCTCAGGCTTCTCACCAGCAGGGGCTTCGCTTTTCTGTTTACAGGACAGACAATGAGTGAGTTGCTGAGATAAACATAGAGAATGTATGTGCAAAGTAAATAGAAGGAAAAGCTGTAGCAAGAGACTTATAGATGAGGTTCATAACAGAAAGTAACTAACAAAAAAATCTCAAAAGTGATTCCCCAGTAGTACATAATCACGCAAACGGATAGTCAGTAAGTAGAGAGATGATCAGATAGAGCTAAATACAGAATTTAGGCCATCATGCCGGCAAATCAACCCAATAGGGATATAATATTATCTTCATTTCAACCTCCCACAGAGAACAACAAAAGCTGACTTTAATAAACACAAATGATGAAAAACAAAGAAAGCATGCATATAGATAACAAACATAGACGACTGATCCAAAAGCTGGAGTACTCGATCAGTAGTGATGATCAGATAGAGCTAAATACAGGTTTTGCCATCATGATGGCAATCATCCCAATAGGGATATAATCTCATCTTCATCTCAATCTCTACAGACATGATTAAATGGGAGACGACATGAATAGATACATTAAACTCGGAGCACAGATCAAAGTGCACAAGAAACAAACAAGTCATATATCATACACATTGATGATGAACAGCAAACAGGGTCCACAAAATACAATGAAATGGGCAAGAGAGAATAGACTACCACATGAAAATTTTATACGGACAAAATTTGTGCCAGCATACAAGTTATGAAACAAAATTCCATTGTTACATAATGAATCATGTCAAGGCAAATATTATCTGCTACAAATAATGTCTACATAATATTATCCACTCAAATACTTGACACTTGAATTAGCAAAAAACAGGCAATGAGCAAATTACAGACACAGAAACACACATCAGAACAGCTACAGCGGATTAAAATAGTAGCAGCATAGCATGATGACTGAACTTTCTCCTTAAGCATTAATGAATGTTACTAATAAATTAGTTGGAAGAAGTTGCATTTCCTATAGTACAAAATTAGCAGGCCAGAATGGATCATATCCTGCAGAGCTATATTATTGACAGATTCAGTATTGCCACACAATCATAAAGAATGGAAACAGACCATACCATGAAGTTCGAAACAGACTAAACAATACATATACATTTTCCAGTGGAAAATCACAGAAACAGTTGATGAAAATCTGCATCCAAAGTTCTAACAATGCATGTCTACAACAAAACAAGACTGGGATAATTGCTGTAATTCTAATGCAGCAATAAAACAAACTTAATTACATCATTCAGCAGCTTTGAATAAGAAAAAATCCACCATTTATGACTAATTCAACAAACAAGACTAAATAGCATAGGCCATCCGGGACAAATTATAGTTGCACGCCGCCTGCCATGGTGAACTAACGAGGAACTGATATTAACACGAACGTAGAGGACTAATTTCCAGAAGGAACTAAATAGCTCAACTCAAGCACAATTCCGAAACTACAGTGATGTCAAAAATTAAGAGCGGAGCAGGCAAAAATCAGATCTATACAAAGATAAGCAAGCAGTTTACTGTTCGGCACTCAACTACAAACAAGTGTACTAGGGGAACCATGACTCACCGCCTTGCGCAGCTTCTTGACGAGCGCCATCGGCTTCCTCTTCAGACCCCTCGAGAACCTAACCAATCCAAACACAAATCGAATCAACAAGCCGGATCAGACCAGAGACAAGCGCAGCCAGCCACGGATGCAGATTCGCAGCGCAAAGGAGACTGCGCGTTACCTTCTGCGGGCGCGGGCAGGGAAGAGGCCGACGAGGTCCTCGCTGGACATGTCGAGGAGAGCGTCGAGGTCCACGCCGCGGTAGCTGAACTTGCGGAACGTCCTCTTCTTGGGGCCGGCGGCCGCCACCTCGGGGTCGACATCAACGTCAGCCTGAGACGAGAAAACAGCGCGCGCGTCAGAGGGGAAGGGGGACGAGATATGGGACCGAGGGGCTAGGGTTTCGGAGAGGTGCTCACCATGGTTGAAGGGAAGGCTGGAGCTCGGGCCGGTGGAAGGCGGCGGCGCTGCTTGCAGGACGAAGAGGAGGGGGCGGCGGCGGCTAGGGTTTGGAGGAGGGCGCTCACGGGAGAGAATATATAGTGGTGGCCGTGTGTCACGCGGATGGGTTTTCGGTGGGAGACCCGGCCCGTGTATACATTTCAGACGGCCTTCTGTGTGAAGCGGCTCGCAGTGGGCTTAGAGGCCACTTTAGCCCGTTTTGTTTTGCAAATGGGTTATTTCATCGACAGCTCGGCCATGGAACAGCCCATTAACTCGTTATATTTTATTTTATTTTAAATCGAGAAAATTTTGCTTGTTTAACATGTTTCTAAAAATTATTTTAAACATTTAGTTTAAAAATGGAAAAATATTTAAAAACTAAAAATGTTCCTTTACATCAATATAATCTTTTCTATGCATGAAATAAAATGGTCATCTTGCATTCAAAAATTATTCTTGTCTAAAATATTATATTCATGTACTTAAAAATGTAAAGATATATTTTTTAAAACATATTAAAAATTGTCCATGGACATCTTGATACATGTCCATATGTTTTTTAAAAAAACACAAGGCCAGAAGAAGTAAAACATAAACATAAATTAAAAAATGTAACAGAGTAAAATGAACAAATAAGAATGTTATAAAAAATTAGAGAAAATGTGGAAGAAAATGGAAGGAAATGGGAAAAGAATAAGAAAAAAATAAGTGGAAGAAAGAAAAAAAGGGGGGAAAGGGAAATGGCCAAGCCCGTGACGGCGAGGGTGTATCTTTTTCGTCGTTGCTATTTAACCATTTACTAGCTTAATGATTTCTCAAGAAAAAACTTACTAGCTTAATGCATGCCCGTGGGTTGCCACGATGGAAAGTAAATCATGGCGATTTAATCCTAGATCGAGAAATCCTCTCATCTTTCTAAGCACACATTCTCTATGTTGGAAACAAAATTATGTCGAGCTGTCTTGGAAGCAAACTCGTTGGCAAAGCGAAGCAAATTACTCTAGGTAGGATCCAAGATGAACTAGAAATAAAGTTCACCGCAGTTGGAAACAAATTATGTTCATAGGAAAGCAAAATGCATGGCAATTAATGGAAGCAATTGCCATGGCTTGTTTCTAGAAAAACAATGCTTCTGTCCACTGGGAGCATGAATATTTTTCTTTCCAATGGAGGCAGCATCATGGTACTTTGAAACAACATAGTATTATAAGACACAAAAATCCTATACCATCGAAACAAACATCAATAATCATGTAAGCTAATTCTCCAATAGATGGAAACTTACTTTATCACGTCACATGGAAGATCTGTATTAAAGCAATTTTCAGTTTCATTGAACAAACTTGAATAGCTTTGCAGGGATATTTTGCTTCTTAAGGCGATGAACTATATGTCGTGGAATGCCAATTTTCTAGAGTTAGTGGTTTCTTACCATTTGAAATTAGTGTGCTAAATATCTGGAAAAGATGAATTAGTTTCAAAAATATTGGGTGTGTTTATTAGCAAATGCCGTGTAATCAACTCATCTAGTTTCAACCCATGTAATCAGCTTATCTACTTCCAATCTGGGAAACTGCACGTGAAAGGTGCTCATCCAGTGACACCATGCGGGGGCTTCCATACAACGAACCACCCATCTAGCTTTTGCATCAACATTCTGCGACTTACCTGATGCCTAGTGGTGCCCGAACGAAAATGGAGGTTGGAGGGAATATGAATACCAGATGACGTGCCAACCTATGATCACCACCACATCCTCTCCTTTAACAGTAAAGAAGAAAGGTGCTCATCCAGCGACACCATCTCGGGCTTCCATCCAACGAACCACCCATCTAGGCTTTGCGTCCAACAGTGTATGACTGGTCTGGTGCCTAGTGGTGCCCGGAAGAAAATGGAGGTTAGAGGGAATACGAATACCACATGACGTGCCAACATACGATCACCACCGCATACTCCCCTTTAATAGTAAGGAAGATTATCCAGACCTTGTTCTTTGGACTCCAATCGAGATGTGTGCTTAGTGGCAAGTTTTCGCTTGAGAAGGTAACTGCGGGAGTTAATGCCTTCATGGTAATGAATATTCTCCCTCAAGTAGCATTGTAACATATAAATAGTTTACATGTGTCCCAGACAACTCTAGTGCAGATGTCAATCACGGTAGTCTTACTAGTTCTTCTCTACTTCTCCACTTATCTCTACTTAAAAAGAACATAAGATTACCATTTACCTTTCTTCCCACCACCCTTCGTCCAATCTTCCATGTATATGATAATCAATTACCTTAATTTACTTACCCTCTGAACCAATTCCACTTTAATTTACTTACCAAACTTCTAATCAAAATATAAGGTAATTCACGATCAGAATTTGATAAACATTTATTTACATCCCGTTGCAATGCACGGGCATTGTTCTAGTTACTTTAAAAGAACCTCATGTTCCATCTTTCACTTTTTCTCCACACCACTCCTTCATCCAACCTCTACTTATATTACCTTCACCTTCCACCGGGGTTTTATCCCTACATATATTCTTTAATAACATTTTTTTAATCTGATCGGTCTAATCAGATTAATATCTGGTGACGCAATAAATTCATGGGAAGGAATTAATCATGATTGGTAATTATTTGGTAACACAATATTTTTAAATTCATTAGAAGGAATCAATCATGATTATTAGTTATTTGGTACCATAATAAATTCACCAAAGAAATCAATCATAATCGGTCATCATTTCTTTCCCAACTGCAATGCATGGGCAATTGCCCAGTAGAAAGTAATGAGTAGATGATGATAGATAAAATGTATTCATATTTTAAAGTAATTAATAACTAGAATAAATTAACAAGTAAATGATGTTTTGAAGGTCTTTTTATAGAGTATTTGGACCGGGTTTGTAGGTTTTGATGTTGAGCATCTCGTGGACATCACCTTTGCTCCTTCTTCTCTTCTACAAGTAGCCCCCTGCCAACCTCGATCTCATCATGGCCTTCCCGATGTCTATCTACTTGAGTTTGTAGGATACACCTTTGCTCCTTTGCAAGCCTAAACCTCTACATCTATACCTCTTCATTCGTCTTCTCAATTTTTTAGCATACATTGCTTTTTGAAAGTCCACCTTGCCAACCCCATCATGTCAATCAAAAAACCCGGTAAGATCAACCACCATTTTTGATAGGGCTTGCAGAGATGCTCATTCTCCTTCAAATTAGCTAGCTCTATGCCATAGGCCTGCTTGGATGTCACCTTGCCAGAGTTTTGCTCATGAAACATGTCCCATAGCTTGGTCAAGCAGTTATGTAGTATGACAAGCTAAGGCCCATAAACCCACTGGACTACTCCATAGTTTTTGCCTCTTTGTTAAAGTAAACTAAATGTAAGAATTCTTGACATTCATAACTAATTCAACAATTGCAAAACTAGCAGATAAGCAAAATTTAATTCAAAGTACAGAGCCTATGGCCATTTCATGTGCTATCCTTTGCAAAACTAACATCAAATACTTACATTGCCATTTCCATATCTAAGCACACAACAATTCATCTACTAGGCAGTGTACTGGTACTGGCTACATAAGTTAGAGTGTCAATTATCAAGTTAATGGTCACTTAGAGCATCACTTAGCTACATTAATTAGAGTGTCAATTAACAAGTTAATGGTCAGCGACCAACTCAGCACCAACATAAAAGATTCTCAATTGTGCAGTGAATCTACAACTATCACCACCTCATCTGCTCCACTATACTCTAAATTTTCAGATATATGTGCTATCTAGGTACATTGAAACATTATAATTCATCTGCTTGTTACTCACCTGCACAAAGAACCAATGAATCTCCTTCCAGTATCAATTCCTTCAAAAACACCACATTTCTTTGGCCTAAGCCTGTGCATCATGCACTTGGGCGCATCATCCACCACAACATCGCAATAGAGTGGCCCGGGAATGATGTCAGGGGTCCCCTAAATCCATTAGAAGTTAGATCAACGAAAGATTCATTCCAATCGGTGCAACAAAGCTCAAAACAGGAAAAAAATCCCTAAATCCAAGAACCCTAATCCTAACCAATCGAGGAGAAATCTTACAAAGTACTGCATGTCCATGAAGTCGTCGCCCATGCTGATGTCCTTGTCAGTGTTCTCATCCCCATCTTCCACGACGACATGGTCACCGCCGATTGTAAGGGCATTTTTATCCCTAAGGTGTTTTGGTGATTGATGACAATGCTTTTGCGGACTAATCGTGTGCCTTGAGTTTCCCAGATGTTTCATCGCTAGGCACAAGATGGTTTGGTGCCCCTCGAAGACTATTGAAGACGACGGTTTTTCTACGTTTCCTTTTGGTGGATTTGAGTAGTAGGAAAGCCGTACTATTAAGAGGGGGTTCGCGTCGGAAAGGTTCGGGTGGAATCATCACGTACACGTTTTCTTCCTTGACCCCTCCTTTCCCCTGCACTTTGGAGCATCCTCCGTTTATCCTCATTGCCTTGTCCTGGTTGCTGTTGTTGGGCTTGTGGTAGTACTGCTCCCTGGAGCGGTAGTACCGCAGGCACCTGCGGTAGTACTGTACTATGGCGCGGTAGTATCGCAGGTGCCCATGGTAGTACCGCTCCTCTGGAGCCGTAGTACCGTGGCCCCCAGGCCAAGTACCGCTCCATCGCGGTAGTAGGGGCGGATGTAATTTTTCACATCCGCGCCACCGCGGTAGTACCGCATCCCTTGCGCGGTAGTACCGTGCGCGGCCTGGCTCAGCTGCCAGGCGGTAGTACCGCTCCTCTACGGAAGTACTGTGTCGGATTTTTGTTTCGTCCGTTTTCCAGCGGAAGTAGGCACGGATGTATTTTTATTCATCCGCGCTCTTCCCAAGCTAGGGTTTTCCTGCCTTGCGGTAGTACCGCAAGGGGGAGCGGTAGTACCGCGCCTGCGGCAGTACCGTCCTCAGCCCTTGTGCTACAGGTCTGCCCTAGCTACTGCT